TGGGATCCGAACCCTCGGCGGGAGCGCCACCGCGCTTCCCAAGCGGCGCACTAGCGCAGTGCGCCACCGGGCCGGCCCGGAATATGTCTTTTTAAAACTATCAAAAGCTGGTTGTGTGGTGCGCATGGAGCAAAGAGATGACCTGAAAGACCAGAAATCTGGACATGTCAATAAGAAGTAGATTCCCACCCATCCCTAAACACGCTTTTTAAAGCCAAGTATATATATTTAATGATTTGAGGGATATATGCCATGTGTTCAAAAATGAACTTTTCAAATTATTAGAGGAAACAATCTTTGGTCAAATTCTTATAGAGAAAATGCTCTGTATAATTTCTGAAAAATGCTCTGTTTCATTTCCATTGTTGCTATAGTTGTTGGAAGTAGACAGACTGTTAATACAAAAGTGTGTCTGCACCACTGGATTCATAGAATGCTAAGTCCAGGGGAGGATCAATAAACTTGTCTTTGCGTTAAACTTCCTGTTTAGTTGCACTGGGGAGACCAAGGCAGCTTACTAGAGTCCTCGACTTTTTATTACCAACTGGAATGGTTATGCTTCTTTACCCTGAAGATCCACATTATACCTTGCCCAGATCTGTGTCTTGAGAGGCTGGCCTCTATGGACTGTACCACCTAGGCTCCCTTTCCCTCTGTCTCCCAGTTGTATTTGGCCACTGAGAGACACAGGCTGGAGATTGCAGCAGGAGGAGAAAGGACACAGGTTTTTTATTTCTGCCATTTCCTCCTTCCCTGTCTACATTTCTGGCAATGGACACATTTCTCTAAGTCTTAACTCCTGTTGGGCAACAGTTATTCCATTGCTCCTGGTCTCACTGGGTTCCAGTATTACCATTCCATTCCCCGCCTACCCCACCTTCTGGTGTAGAGGTGCTAACAGCTTTGAGTTCCTTCACCATCCACTGTTGTTTCCTTTAATCCTGCACACATCCTTTAAATATATCCTTTATTCACTCTATGCAGTTAAACCCTTCATATAGTGTCTGTTTCCTGCTGGGATCCTGATTACCACTGTAAAATTCCCCAGCCAACCTTGCTAGGGGTTATCTCTCAGCTGGGTAACAGGGATAAAGTTAAGGCAAGACAGCATGCTGGCTCAGTACCAGGGATTTTCCTTACTCCTTAGGACCTTGATTCTGTTTGATGCCAAAACCTGTGTCTGGATTCTTACCCTTCAGTATCCACATTTTTTACTTTGGCCCAATCTTTCTCTAGTTTTCTCACCTGATCTCCTGATATCTCCTACCTGTGGGATTTCAGGGATACCTGTTTACTCTTTCCTACCTTAGCTGATTTCTCTGGAGTTAACCACTGATCTCTGACTCAGACCTGTAAGCCCTTTCGCATCCTGCTGACCCCACAGGATGGTGGATAAAGTGTGCTTTGAGCCAGTCAGACCTGAGCTCCCATCCCAGCTTTGCCACTCCCCAGCTAGAACCTCAGTTCTCTCATCTATAAAATGGAGATGAATAATACCTACCTTTTAGGGTTGTTGTCAACATTAAAAATGAATGATGTCTATCCCACTGGGTTATGGTTAAAATTAAGTAAGACTAGATTCACTAATTAGGAGCTCAATAAATGATAAGTCTTCTTCCAGGCACTACAGGAAGGCTAACCCACAGGGCCAAGCTCTACCTCCTCTCGATTCTCAGTACCACAACTTCTGGCACATTGCCCTTTCTGGTTATTGCTAGTGATTTTACATATGTGTTTGCCAACTCTTCAAGAACATGTAGCTCTTTGAGGAAGGAAACCATGGTTCTATATAGCCATAGGGACTGAGCACACAGAATAGAATAGAATAGAAGGATCTGCTGTATTCCAGAAAAGCAATGTTCCTCAGAATCCAGTTTCAAAGGAAAAGTTTCCACTTGGTGAGTGCTATGTGTTCATTCTGAGGATATAAATCTAGTGTGGTCATTTACAAGTCTCTAGGCAGGGAAATGTTTGAAATTGACTCCATGGAAAAAGCTAAATATAAATTGCAAACGACAACTTGACAACCTCTGCTCTCAACTTATTTGAACTGAAAACATTTGATAAACATACATTTCTTTCTTTTTTTTCCTTTTTTTTTTTTTTGTCTTTTTTCGTGACCGGCAACGGATCGCCACCCTCAGTGTCGCGCCCGTACCGGACCGGGACCGGCAACGGGATCGCAACCCTCGGTGTTGTGCCCGCACCTCGCTCAGCCAGTGAGCGGCCGGTCTGTATGTGGGATCCAAACCCTCGGCGGGAGCGCCACTGCGCTCCCAAGCGGCGGACTGTAGCAGTGCGCCACCAGGCCGGCCCAAAGATACATTTCTTATGGGTGCCAACAGCCTCACCTCACAGGTGGGATATCATTAAAAGCCACAGCCACAGCCATCGCTAATCTACATTGTTCTGATGTTGAATATCTTAATGAATGCTTGTTTGTTCACTCTCTCAATTGGTTGCTATGCCCCTTAGAGCAAAGACTTGGATTATCATGAAATGGCTACTAGCCCACTCATGTTAAAATTGTCTACATGATAGCAAAAATGGAGTTTGGGGACCAAAACCAGTGACACATATGTTAATGATTAGTCAATATGAAGAGAGGAACCAGATCTGATCTGGTAGTGATCCAGTGTTGGAGAAGCTGTTGGTTTCAGCCAAATTGCTTAATATGTGTTGCTGAAAGTTGAGCAAAATAATTAGTCTGACTGGGCCTATGGTGTCTGTGTTTTCCTCTGTCTGAAGGAGTCCTGCCAGTCTTAGAACTGTTGCTTTTATAGACCCTAGGGATTGGAATCAGCCCCCCAAATATTTTTAGAGTTCCTACTATATGTTGAATTCAGCCCTGGGCCTCTGGGGCTTCTGAGAGGAGCAGAAGACATACTCTGTGTGTTCAAAAGCTAGATGAGACTATCACATAAGACAATTAATAAATACCATGGGGCTGTATGTAATGAGGAGCTTGAGTGTGGAACAGACACCAAGGACTCCTGGGAGATTACAGATGGAAGGAAGAGGTAAGCACTGAACAGAAGATGCTCAATAAATACTTCTTGAAAACCTGGAAGAGAGGGAAAGAACAAGGCACAAGGATTTCGTAGAGTACCGAGGCTTGGAGCCTGAAGCTTGAGTAATCAAAAGTCAATAGAGAACACGTGCAACCTTTGGTGAAGGGAAGGGCCAAGGAAGGGGGGACTTCTATGGGGGCAGCAAGCTCACTTGGAGGAGTGTGGACAGCCGCAACTCATTCCCCCAAGCAATGCAGCCCCAAAGACCAGCGATCAATTCCTGCAAACTCTAGGGCTCTCTTGGCCACAAGTTAGAGGTAGAAGTGTCCAGCTGGACTCTTGGGGCAGGATCCGGCTCAGAACTGGAAACAGCCTCAGCCTCACAGGATTCGCTCCCTTCCAGCTCCCATTAGAAAGAGGCTGCAGGAGAAAGGGCATACTAACACTGCAAGCTCCAAACTGCCACTCATCTCTGGTAAAGCCAGGTTCACAGGCTGAATGGAAGAGGCTGCCTCAGTTTTCTAGTTTCCCTCACCCACCGGCTCCCAGAAGACACACAGTCTGAGAGAAGACTCTAGCTAAAGTGGCCACAGGAACACAGCCATAAGAAAACAGCAGTGGGAATACTGTGAATTTCATGTAATGCAGTCGAGCTGACAGCTCTTTGTTACACTATGACAGGGGAGGCCTGACACAATCCACTACAGGAAAAAGGCTGTTTCAGAAACACATTTGGTTGGTTTTCATAAGGGTGACTGACTGAGCGATAATGATGAGCAAGAATGCTAGATTATTGACTCACTAAGTCAAGGACTTGAAATAGGGTAATTTTGTTTCCTTCCTTACATTTTTCCCAGGAACATTCTGGATTTTTAAAATTTTTTGATGAAATATTTTGTTGCATATCTTCTGGAGCTATCTATTGGTCTTTTGATTGGCCTCTGTGTTTGTCTTCAGCACATTGCTTTCCTATGGCTTTGAATTTAATAAAAATCCTTGGTATTAAAAAAAAAATACAACAACAAAATGTCAAGGGATGTCATAAAAAGATGGCCAACCCCATCCACTTATTTTTCCATTGGCCTATTTCTGGGCATTTCCCAGACTCTGCAGTTGAATAAAATGCAAAAATTTGATGGGTAACTTGTTGATACATGTAATAAACACAAGGTAAATGAGCCTTCTCTTCTCCAAATCCACAGAGGTCTACTAGATCCAGGGAGAAAATGGAGCAGATGATAGTACTTTTGAGGGCAGAGGCATATGCTCCCTCTACATCCACATAGTAGAGTGCTAGCACATAGCAGGTGCTCAAGAAATACCTGTATATTGGCACAAAGAGATTTGAATATCCTTCACTGATACTAGATGATTATGTAGCATAACACAAGAAGCTGTTAGGTCTAGGGCTTCCCAAACTGTGCTTTGATAAGGTTCAGAAGAACCCCTTAGAGGTTGATGGAAGAATAAAACCAGGCTCTAGGACCTCCCTCAATTGGAGGAGCTGCATTTTTGTTGTTGTTGTTGTTCTATTTGCTGAGCTTCCACACAAGATTTTGTTTTTTCCTTAAACAAGATTGAAAACCCCCTGCTGTAGACAGACACAGCCCAGGCTAAGGATTAAATATACAGAGAAGAGGCAAGAGATAAAACTAAAAAGTGATAGCCAGTAAGTTCCAAATATTGTATTTCAAAGGCTGGTGAAGTGTTACCATGAAATCTCTAGTGGTGGGAAAAGTGGGGATATAGGACAGAAATGGAGAAACTAAGGGATTGGGCTGGATGGAATGGGAAAAGAAAATGACTGCAAGCTTCAAATCCCCCATTTATCTTCAGCAAAGCAGAGGTCCACAGGATAAATGGAATAGACTGCCTTCAAGTGATCTTTGGAGTAGTCACTTTGTAAAAACGAAAGGGAAATTCACTCTGAAATGAAGTAAGAGTGAAGAGAACAAATTACTGGAATAAAATGTATCAAGATACACTAAGAATTTTTCTACCTAATCTCGTGTCCCTTGTTAATTTTCTTACAATTTGTACGTATATGCTCTAATGTGGCTCTGTCTTTATACCTTAGAGCCAGTCCCTATCTCCAATCAAAGCTCCCCTCAACGCACAAGACCTAATTAATTTTGGTTAAGATATTGAAAAATTTTTATAGCTATACATGTCCCTCCACCTTCCAACCATCTGACTTGAATCCAAGGGTAACTGTGTGTGATCACTTGTATCTTCAAACCTCACCCCACGAATCTCAACACTTGACCCTGAACATGCTTGCGTGAGACAAAATGTTGCTAAGGCCAAAGTGCCTGAGCTATGAGGCAGAACCTACAAGATGATATTAGAAATGTTTTTGTGGACACACTCACCGGAATCCCATTGATGCCAAGAAAGCCAGGAACTCCCAGGGGACCCTAAAAATAAGGAGCAGGAGGGGGAATGTAAGAGGCCATCATTCAATTGATGTCTGTTAGAGTTGGTAGGTTTGTTTATGTGATTTACTGACCTAAGTGGTTAAGAAGCGTTTTATACCTCCTTCCCCACATTGTATTGCTTTGCTCCCTACTCCAGTTCCAAGTGATCACTTGCTTCTACCTGAGGTCTTGGACACATCTGTGTTCTGAGACCAGCTTTTGTCTTAGGCAGTGTAGTGTTAAGTCCTAAACTTAAAGCTCAATATAATGTACTGCCTTGACATTTGGGGAAAGCAAGAAGGGCCTCAAATGGCGTAACCACAAGTTCCCCTCCCCATTCTGCTTCTTCAGATGAGATCCCCTAGTCTTTATCAAACGGACCAGGTACAATTCCTGCTTATCCCTGAATAGTGGTTTCAGTTCAATCACATCCTCCTTCAGGAACTAGGGACACCCCAGCCTCTTGATACTACAAAGTCTGCCTCCCACAGCCTCTTCTAGCTCACTCTGTTCCCAAGTGCAACTCCTGTGTGGCACTATGTGATATGTGATGTCCTCTTTTCCTGAGCTGTGAATATATGTGACTAATAAATAGTCATCAATCTCATCTGTCCAGTATCAGGTGTCATGTCTTAGGCCATCCCCATAATCCTAGTGTGGGAATCGCTCCCTCACCAAGGGGGTGAAAAGGAGGTGATTAAAATAGGCAGGGAACATAAACTGAGCTGACATTATCACTCTCCTTTCTTGTAGCTCTTTCCCTATATTTGTGGCCCAGATTTCTTCCAAGCATTCTAGCCCCTTGCTTCCCAGTCTCTTTGCTTGGATTTCTGATCTGCACTGCACAGCTGATTGGACTTCTGACCCATGCCCAGTTCAAACCCACATGATTTCTGACCACAGTGAGCCCACTTGTTTAGCAAGTAGCTAACACATTCACTTTACAGTTTGCTTGTCCTGGGAGTCTCTCCAGAAATGGGTTGACCCATCAGCAGCACATCACCCATCCTGTCTTATTAAAGTATGTAGCCTGGCACCAAAGTATTCAGGAATAGTATTATTTCCATAAATGAGCAGAAATAAGATGTAGAACTTTTGACCTTCATACTTGTGGCCCATGCATCAAAGGGAAATCAAGCTTTGGTACTCTTACCTTATCTCCTTTTGGTCCATATGGTCCCAGAGGGCCTGGGGAGCCCCTTTCTCCTTTCAGCCCTGCTAAACCAACAGGGCCAGCAAATCCTTGAGGACCTGTTGGACCTTGAATTCCAACTGGTCCAGGTCGCCCCTAAGATGGACAGAAGTAGTGCAATTAGTCAATAAAGGACTTAACATCAACACTTTCACTTTCCCATGCACAAAGAACATTGTCATCACATCACTAAATAATTTTGGCTTAGAGATCTGTGAGACAAGCCAAAGTTCCAGACATGGATCAGAAAAGGCTATTTTAGGGGCTGCTAAGCTTATTTGGACAGAACACATTTTATAAGCACATTTAATAAGATTCATGTGCACCCAGATCCTTCAACTTTGTACTTCTTAGGAGATTAATTCTTCAGGCTGGATAATATTGTCCTCTTCCTAGTTAATGCCAGGCCATCCATCAGATTGTCAAAATAGTGAGAGAACAGAATGCTGGAGAGCATCATGACATTTTGTAACTCACATACAGATGGCCAATCACATGGTTGCAGTGAAGTCCAGCAATGGCTGTGCCTAAAGAACATTGCCCCAAGGGGATAACCCAGGAATCCATGAGCTGACCAACCTGTCAGAACTCATCTTTGTTGGCACATCCCAGGATCCCATCACTGCACATGGTAATAGACACTCAGAGGGAAAACACACACAAACATATACACATTCACACACATAACTAATTATTTGTTCTTCCTCTCTATCCCTTTCTCTTCCACCCCCCAATCTGTACAGTGCTGAATGTGTAAAATACAAGGAGCCTGAGAATATCCACTAAGTATCAATTATGATAGCAAGAGGGAGCAGCGTGAGGATTTTGAATGCCCTGGTTATAAAATGTCTGTAACAATTAAGTCTGAGAGTTCAGGCTGACATTTTAAAGCAGACTAAGACTGAGAATTAACCCCAGTGGGTGCTACACAGGCAGGCTGGTCTATCATTTAGAACAAATCCCAGTAAGAACTGAATTTTCTTGGCAGAGAAGTAAAATCATTAGTAATGTGCATTACTTCTCAGAGAACACACCACTATATTTGGTAGAAAACCTATTTACATAAATTCTTCCCATCTCCACCTTTTGGCCCCTTTACTGTCCACAATTTCCTAAAAATCTTTAAAAAACCGAAGAAAGCCTGTTAAGCATGCCCTTTACTACTCACCTTCAAAGTTTACTTTTTAAAAGGCTAAAAATGGGACAGATGCCTTATGTAGGGGCTGGAGTCACGTACTGGAGAAGCAAGTGGCCACCAGCTGTGCTGGTCCTTTGCAGTATAATTTCCAGTGTCAATCAAGCACATGAAGACCTAGGACTCTTGTAAACAAGTAAAAGATGTTCTTCCTTAGGAAATGCAATTCTCTGGGGCACCACCCACCACTTGACCTTTCTCGACACTCAAAATGGAGCCTACAAAAAGTGCTAGGCTGCAAACAATGTAAAAGGCTTACTTCTGGAAATGATGGGAGTAAGAGGTGGGCTTTCATTTTTTAGGCTCCTACCTCCCACTGTCAGAATTTTGTTAACAATGATTCTGTTATTTATTATTCTTGTGATTTTCACAAAATCAATATACATGTATACATATGTATGTGTGTGTGTATATGTATATAAAGAAACTAAAAAGAAAAATAGCAATACTTAAAAAAATAGTACTGGGATGCTGTTGCGGATGAGTGAGGAAGTCGAAAATGTGGGCCTAGGTTTCAAGACTGATGTGCACAAGCCATAGCAAACAGTACAATTTTGGCCTAGAGCAGAAGTGTTGCGGGAACACAAAGGAAGGGCTGGCCATGCAGGGTCTGTGGAATGCTCACATTTAACCCATGGCTGGGGGGAGTTCCAGGCCACATTGGAAAGGCTGAGTGGGCCCCAGCTGAAGCAGGCCTGGGAAGCAAGGCAGGAAAGTTGAAGACTTCATGTGGTAGGACTTTGGGAACCCTCAGAGGCTTGGGAACGGGGTGGGGAGGGTTGGCACTGAGAGGACAGCAGTGTTTCAGGGCTGAAAGTCATCCAGGAGCATTCAGGAGGACATATGTGTGTCAGCATGGGGCCAGAGAGCCTGCCTGAGACTGGAACAAGGGAGGCAGATAAGAACCAGCTGTCGGGGAGGAGGGGACTGCTTGGTGGGAGTATAGGGGGCAGGATGAGCTTGCTGAGGCCATGTTATTACTAGCAGAGAGGACCCAGTCAAGGCATTGAATGCGTGACCCCAATCCAAGCACCGCCAAAAGTTTTCCCATGTAAAAGGAGGGGAGGAGGACAGCATTATAATGTATTGTGTAGCCACTGAGAGAGTGGACTGTGGTGTGGCCCAATTCCCATCCTACTCACAGCACTAGAGAGAGGAACCTGAGCAGCCCCAGGCATGGGTGCATGGGCTGACACACTCCACCTGTGGTCCCTTGTCTTTGCAAGCACATGCTCATCAGCAAGGGTAAGCAAGGAGATTTGGGAGTGAGGTAATTCTAGGGCTGGACTTAACAGGAACTCTGATCCGGTCCAGAAAAGGCAGGGTTCCTTTCTCTTGGCTGGGTGGATGTGCTGAATTTGCCAAGTCCACTGTTTTAGCCAGAGAGCTGAAAGTGAGTCTCCATAAGAACTCCTGGATTTTTTTTTTTTTTAGTCCCACTCTTTTTCCAAAAGGGCGCTTGAAAAGGCACTCCTTGGAGGAACGTGTACTTCTGGGCTGGCCCCAGGTGTTTGGGTTGGTGGCCATGTCAGCAGCCCAGCTCAAAACCTCCCAGACTGACTTAAGGGCCAGAAACAGGGCCTGTAGGATGTCTGGAGGCTGCTGAGGCCCTTCTGGAGGCTGCAGTCATAGGATATGAGACAAGGAGCCTTCCCACCCACTGAGTTCCTTTCATATGGTGGCACAGAGCACCAGGAAGAAATGAAGGTGGCCAAGAAAACAAATAAGAATGACACATTTCTTCTGTGGGTTGTTCTGTCAGCCATCTCTACATATGCTTACTCTGTGCTTATAGCCGTATGATCTTTTTTCCTCCTCTCCAGTGCACAGGGTTTCTGTCTCAGCACCCAGTGTATTGCTGGAGCTTAATACTTCAGCAATGAACGGCTTTTTTTCCTCCCTCCAGATGCTATTGGTGACACTTTTCATAATGGCCAGCAGAGGTCAGTGTGAGAACACAGAGGCTACAGATAAGCAGGTAGGTGGGTGGGCCTGTCCCACTACAGAGAAAAAGAAATCAAACCAGTGTCAGAGAAATCACAGAATGTTCGAGCACAAAGGGCCCTTAGAGACCACTCAATCCAGGCTTTATTTTATACACGGGGGCAAAAAAAGCTGAGAGAAGAGGACAGACTTGTTTAGGTTACATAGATAGTAGGAATGCATGGGACTAAAATCAGACAGCCTGTTGCCAGTGTGTGGCTCTCTCCCTGTTTGCCAGTGGCAGATGTCGTAGGGGGCCCCAGGCCCACCCCTGGGACTGTCCCCATCAGCAGGCTGCAGCAGCCAGATGCTCACACATCATTTCTCTCTTCCTAATCCCGATCGTTTCATAGAACCAATCTGAAACATCATCGCTGTTTGGACTGCTAGCAGAATTTCAATGGACTTGGACCAATGCCCTGCCCTGATACATGTCATTTATTTTGGCAAATAGACCCAGACAGGGCAGAAGGGACTCCTCAAAGTCTTTCCAACAAGCTCTCCTACTTCCATCTGCTCAGGAGTTTTAATATGCACATCAGGGTCTAATTCTCAAGGGAATGAGTTAGGACTCGTGCCTAAGGTCAGGAACTGCAGGTCCACCACCGCAGCCCAAGCTGGCTGCCTGCTGTTGACCACCGAGGGTTGGGGTCAGTGTGCAGTTTAAGGTAACCTTTGATCAGGCCCAGATAACTGGAGTAACAGATCCAGAAATGAGGCTGTCTATAAAGTAGTAGACATATGCAGAAATAGCATCTAAGAAACTTAAAATCACATGCCTCAGACTAGGTAGGACTGTGAAATTGATGGAGGGGGCTGAGTTTTCATAACTTGGTCCCTTTCTGCTTTTTCATCCCTCCCTCAAGGTTCTAGTGTTCTTCTCCCATAAAATTAAAATTTGTTCCTCAGGAAGAATCTGAAACTCATTCTCACTGAGGCATAAATGACTGACAACAACTTAGAGCTTTACTTTTCCCAGGGGGATTGTAGTTTAATGGAGAGCAAAGTGTTAAGCTAAGGGATGCAAATGATATTTATGAACCAGGGAAGGGAGAAGGGTGTGCACAGTCCTTCTTAAGGCCCCGGTTGTATTTCAGGAGTTGGCACAGTGCTGTTAGGTAGACCTGGAGTCAAATCTCCTTCCTACCATTTAACAACTATGTGACTTTGAGCAAATGACTTAACCGTTCTGAGTCTCAAAGGATTGGGTGCAATCATAGTTCTTGTATAGAATTATTTTGAGCATTTAAGTGAGTTAATGAATGTAAAACAGCTTGGCAGATAGAATGAAAGTATCAGTTCCTTTTCCTCTTTGGGTATCATTTATGGTAAAATGGATAATTTAGGAGTGGGTACTTAATGCTCCTTCCCTTAAGCGTAAGTGGGAGGTGCACAGACATCACTGAGAAGCCCTTTCTGGGGCAGAGGTGTGTGCCCAGGAATGAATGAGCTTGCATGGTGGCACCCTACATCTATGAGAGCATTTCTCCCCTTACTTAGTGCTAGTGCCCTCGTTCTCCTGGGCACTTGGCTCCTTAGTGTCTGCTCATTCTCCTAAATGGACCTCATCGATATGCTATTGACTCCCAAATCTGAACCTCCAGCCCAGATTTCTCTTCTGAGTGTGTCAGATCCTTGTAGCCAATGGCTTGTCAGACCTCTTCACCTGGATATTCCAACTGAAACCCAATATGACCAAAACTGAACTCATCATCTTCTCCTCATCCCTATTCCCCAAATCAGTTCCTTCCTCCTGAGTTAATAGAATTAATTCAGTAAATGGCACCATCCACAAAGGCGATCAAGCCAGGAACCGAGGGGTCCTCCATGACTCCTTCCTTTCCCTCATCTCCTACATCCAATCCATCAGCAAGGGCTGTCAACGCCACCACCAAAATATAACTTAAATCTG